GTGATGCAGAAATACTCCCAAATTTAGTACATGGAGAGCCAAAAGTTACCATCTGTCCAATGCTCCTGAGAATTTTCAAAGGCAACAACAGCAGAAGACGTGGAGGCTGTAGTTCTTGGGAACAGCAGCATCTGTGTGATAGAATAACTCTTTTATTATACATTACAGTGTACAGACTAGACTGTATACAATTACAGTTCCAGTATCCGCAGTGGAAAACCTGCACTTCACAGTACTGTGCCCTGTGCAACCTGTGCTGTGGGATCACACTGTACCAATATCGATCTACATTATCAACAAAATACTTGACAATTCACTCCCAAATTCTTCTGTAAGGGCAGTCAAAGCTTTTCAATACTTCTGTTTGCACTCATATTGTTGGGTTTTGATCAGAGCATTGTCTCATTCTTTCCTGAGAAAGAGCTGTGCAAAATTGAGGCCAGACTAAATTTTAGAAACTTATCAAAGAAAACCAGCTTTTGGATTAGGTGATTAAATAGTATGACTAGTATTTCAGATAATGTTAGTTATGCTTTTAATAAAATCCTTAGGAGAACGAACAGCAGCTGAAGTGCTGAACTGTTGGGAAACTGACGTTGTTTTCATACAATCTCAGCTCAAACCCTTCTTTTTGGAAACAGTATATTCTAGATCTAGTTTATGGAAATATCTGGAAATTTAGTAGAAGCTTATACACTGAATGTTTTTCTATGGAGACAAAGTAGTACTACATTTAATAACTTCAGCTTACCTCTGAATGCCTAACCTCTAGTTTTTTAGTATTGCTTTTTGTAGCATGCAAAAAAATCCCAAACTAAGACCTTTTTTTTTTTTATTGATTAGCTTTTTTTAGGTTTACAATATTTGAGGATCATATGAACACCAAAACAGGAGTGAGGAAAGAGGCAGGAATGTGCAGCAGGAGACAGAGTAGAAACTTGATTGATTTAAGCTGTCACAGGATCATATTTACTGAAAATCCTACTCCATTTTTTAGAGCACCCCATTCTGTTATGTTTAAAGCCCTGCAAGGTTACTACGGCCCCTCAGCTTTGCAAATATGCCCTTTATAAATATGAAGATCTTGGCATTACAGCTACTACACTGTACTTCATACTGTAGTCACGCTGCATCTGGCAATCATTACATCTTTAGATTAAATTTTTGTTCAAGTACCATCTTTTTGAGACTGTTGTTTGTACTAATCAATTACTTTGTTTCCTTTATCAAAACTACCTTTGGCATACACTGTTACAGGAAAAAAAAAAAATCCTGCTCCTCTAATTTTGGAAAAGTGAGTGTATTTCCATAGCATGGTAAAAACGTTGATTCTTTCCAAGAACAAACGTTTCATTGGATACAATGTTCACATCCTTTGGAAACCTGTATGTGCCACCTCCTTAGAAACTTCTATGGGAAGTCTGTAAAATAAATACATGCAAAACATAAGGAAGTATAACTTCCCACTCCCTTTTCCCTACCTTCAATACATTGCATGTAATGCCATCAGTTAAAGAAACTTCCCTTGTAAGATTTTTTTTTCGTTTTGGAGTCTGTTGCAAGTATCCTTGATGTGATTCTTAGGATAACTGTTAGCCAAATTCTGTGTGTTACTCTGTTGTTGTACAAGCAGCTGCCAGATGGTAATATGGAGAAAATACATTTAACGTCTGTCACCTAACTGGAAGCCAGATGGCACGGCAGAAGTTGGAATAAGATGTCTGCCAACTTGGTCTGGCTTCCAGATGTGGTCCTATGCTCCACCATGACTGTGTGGACAATGGCCTCGACTCACCACGATACTGCCTTTCTAGTGCTTCTGGCCATGCTATGTGCTCATTCCAACAGCTGAGTTGATGACATTTCCTCATCCTTTCTCCCCAAAAGCTGCACTGAAGAGCAATCAGAAATGGGTGTGTAAAAGTCAGTGGGGCAGATAATTCTTTGCTGGCTGCTTGTCTGTCTTGATGAGCATAAACTGGACTTCTTGGATGTCTTCCTGCAGGGGAGGGAAAGTCATTGAAAGTAGCTTGCATGGATGTTCTGGATTTTTAACTCGTCAGGATTGTAGTCAGTTTGCTTGTTTGAATTGAGTAGGAGGGGATATTTTCCTCTGAATGAGAGGATAGTCTTGCAGCCCTTCAGTTGGTGGCATAAAGCTGGAAGAGCATCTGGCCCTTAGGGCTTGGGAGCATATGCAACACTTCTGGAGCATTCCAGTTTACCCATGAATGATCTTTTTCAAGTACTGTGACTTGTGTGGCTAAGGTGCATGGCTTAGTCTTTGCTGTGTGAGAAAAGTAAACAGTCTGTCTAATGAAACGCTCAAGCTACAGCGGATGCTGCTTCTGTGTCTTTCCCATGAGAAGTTATGGGATATAGTAACAACACTGCTTATTGCCATTTGGGAGACGATAATAATTTATAACTCAGACTGTTATGAGGCTATAAAGCAGGGTGAATTGGCTGTTTGGAATTCAGCTTAGCAATAACCAAATATAATGTATTTATGGTAGGTGGCTTTCAACAAGGTAGAGAGAAACACGTTGGCTTATTATGCCTTCTGAAGGAAAATTATTCTATCAGGTCACTTATATAGTCATGATGGGATGACATAAACAGTTTAGAAGTTGCCAGTGAAACACTTTCCAAACAAAGCTTTACACCTTTGGAAAATAACAATCAGTGACCAGCCAATTCTTCTTTAAAAGCAAATAAATAACGGGTCCTTTAGGATAATGACAAATCACCATATAGGGTAGAACTGGTTATCTTCTCTTTTCAAGTATTTTTCATAGTAAGTACTGTTGCAATGACCATATCTGACTTTTGAAAATTCAAGCCACAGGACGTCCTGAACTACCTGGTGTCTGAATGTAACTTTTATGAGGAACTCTGTCATTTCTAAAACTCTCCAGGAGCAGTTTCCATTATACTTGGAAATGGGCCAAATAATTATTTGTTAAAAATGCGCTATTTGGTTTTAGTTGTAATTTATTATTATATAATTCTTGACATGGTTGGCTATGTTTGTATCTTTGCGTAGCCTTTTTTCTCAAATCTATTAACCATGCACTTCGATCAAACTGTTTAAATATTCCTTTAATAAACCAAGAAGACTGGGATCCTTTTGTCCTTTGCTATTAATAGTTGTCCAGTCTTAATCTTCTCTGAGCCCTTTTTAAGCTTTCATCATCCGCCTTCAGTTGTGAATACCATACATTTCCATATTTTAGTGAGACAGACAAGTCCTGTGAAAGAATTGTAGGGAGAAGTTAGGCCTGTAGAGACAGAGAAAACTCACAGAAATTGCATAGGGTACTGCTTAGCATTTTATTTGTTCAACTCTGTAAAGGCTAACAGCAAGCCTGTTGCTGAGAAAAGTGAAAGGTATTAACTTTTGGATATTAATCATCTGTGCTTGCTTGTGTGACCTAAGTACAGCTATGATTACCCTGTGATTTGTGGTGGAATTAAGAACTTCCCTAAGAGAATGAGACCTTTATTTGAAGCCATCCCAACTGCATTATGACTTTTTTTAATCCCGCAGTTTTGGAAGTACTGACTCATGGATGTGCTTTATGATGCCTCTTCTGCTTGGTAGTTTTTTGAGATGCTTTGCTGGATTGGTCTTTTGGGTTGGATATAGACAAAAGAACATTGTTCTGATCACATCACTGTCCTCTGAAGAAGACAACCCTACAAGATAAAAAGAAAAGTATGTCAGCATTTGCCCTCCATCTCTTGAACCCAGATGAGTTCAAGCCCTGACATTTATCAAACTCAATACAGTGGTGAAGCTGACAATCGAGAATTTATGAAGGAATACAACAGTTCTTTTCACCTTAGCAGAGCTGCGACGTTCTTGTGAGAAAACACTGGTTTTTATTACAATTTGGAGACTTTGACACTGCCAAAGTACTCATCATTTCTCAAGAATATGTCTAAAAGGGGAGAGGAATGGCAATCCAGTGTGACAATCTCTGGAAAGAAAATGCTAAAATAGTAGTTTTGCAGGTAACAGACCCACTTGCACGACTGCATCTTATTTTTTTCAGGCTAAAGACTGAATTGAATGATATAATTCAATTTCACCTGCTTCCATCTTCTCTGATTTTCAAACTATAGTTCAATTGTTAGATTTTTTTTCCCCCCAAAGCTTCAAGTGAAACTGGTGCCTCTTTTTTAGGCCATCTACTATCACTTCTTGTTTGATCCCTCCCCTGAGACTTTGGCCATTTATTTTGAGTTACTTTACATGAATTCAAGCACTGATTCTGAATTCCTCCTGCATGTAAAGCCCATTAATTCAAGGGAAATTTAGGACTGGGACCTCTAAGCTTATTAAAAAAACCCCAAAAACAACAAACCCCAGAAAAACCACAAACCAAACCCAGAAAATTTTGTGTTGACTCCTGCAACCTATCTCAAACTCCTAGGAGTTGTAACACATATTCTCCACAAATATACAGAACATGGTATGCATCTTTCTCAAACTTTTGCCTGGGAAAACTCCTGTTTTTAATTAAACTAGAACATACTGCAGGAGCTTAATTAAGCAATCAGTCCCAGAGGACTGAGCTCAGGTGAACCAGCAAACACCTGTTTCAGCTACAAAAATGTTTTTGCTGAAGAATAAATTAGCCCCTTCTTACGAGATTGAAGTTGTTTCCTCCCTTCTCCTGTTGTTTTCTTTCCACTTAAGAAAATGAGCATTTCCTAGCCAGAAAAGTCGCAGAAGCTAGCGGGCAGGGGACACGGCGGCCCGCCCCGGCTTCTCCTCACGGTCCCCGCCGGGGCCGCGCCCTCGCTAGTAAAATGCGTGAGAAGCTTCGTCTCAATTTAAAGGCAGGACCCTCTGCTACCTCTGGGGGGGAAGTGGAGTAATGCTAAATTAAACTAATTAATTCAAATAGCCGCCGGGGTCTGTTCCCGCCGCCGCCCGCCGGCGCTTCCTCTCGCGAGAGGCCGCCTCTGGCAACCGCACGACGCGACGGCGGGGAGGCAACGGCCATGGAGGCGGCGGCGGCGGCGGGGGGCTCTGAGGCGGCCTCTGAGGCGGCCTTCTGCCTGCAGAGTATCCTTCCTCATCCTCCTCCTCGTCTGAGGCGGGCGGCTGGGGGTGCGGGCACCGCGGGGTCCC